ATAAAATTTACTTTTTCAAAAATATAATTTTATAAATTTGGCATTAAATGCAACTTTTTTTTTTTTAACTTAGTAAATAGAGAACATGTATTATCAACAATTTTCCCCATCTTAACCGCTAAAATGGTGGCAGGTGGCGTTTCATATGACATCAAATTATTTACCTCACTCTCCTCAATGTTAAAAATCTAATGTATCCCTGGAATTGGAAAACATATATTCATTTTTTCAGTATTCCTTATCAGTTGTATGTGTTTTCTCTCCATATGTCAGACAATGATGACCTCACTGGTGATAGGGGGGGGAAAGCCTCACATCATTTAAATAGAAAATGTAGAAAATACTCTCAACTGCTAAAATGAGACACAAAAAGCTCTTCAAAGTTCATAAAGCATGTTTCATATTTTTTTGTGATTTTTTTTCTGAAATTCCATTAGTTGGATGAATTAAAGCAATCAATTGATTTTATGATAATTTGTTTTCCACTCAGTCCTGCTGTCTCATTTAGTCAATTGCCGTCTATTTTAAATTGGAATGAAGATTTGTCGAAGCAAATAAGGACAGTTTCCTACAGATATTACAGATTTTTGTTTTGTCTTTTTTTTTTTTTTTAATGGGGTCACTTATTCTCTTGAAGCATTTGTAATCAGTTTAAACTTGATTAGACTTTGAGAAAAAATGTTTTCTATCAGTCAGTTTTGTTCCAAGCTTTTTAATTTCATTATTATTGATATTCATCTAATTTATGTTAAAAAAAAAATCACCTTGGATTTATGGGTAGTGTAAGCACTATTAGTGTGTCGTTATCTAAGTTTACCTTCTGACCATTCTGTTTTGTTCACTTTCCACTAATACCCTTGGAAAAGATATGAATCTAGTTTTCTCCAGTTATATATTAAACAACAAGGTAGACTGGGTTCTCAGACAGTCTTGAAGGAGAAATTTGTATTGAAATGCTTGTGAGTAATAGACTGGGCAAGCAGTCCAGGACAATTCTAAATGAAGACAGCCGGCTCTAATTATTTACATTCTGACTATTGTCATCTTTGTTGCCGTTATCACATTTCGGCTGATGTGCCCTCATCAGGTACATGTTGTTCTGGGTAACTTACAGGGAATTTCTAACTGAATCCGTTATTTAATTTTAGGGGATTGTTCCCATTCAACTGCCCATGTCTAAAGATATCTTGTCTACGTCTTATTTTTAATACTACTCAATTAATGCTCGCCTTGTTTTCAAGTACACACTGCCCAGCCCAGGGATTGACCTCACAATTACTATGTCATTAAAATTTACAAACCAATGCTTTCATCCTCTAGGTTATTGTCGTATGAGACAATTCTGTGTGAAAAATTGCCTTAAATCTAATCTACCTGCTGATGAGTGCTGCTGATGCTTGTCATGCTTGACTGTGCTCACTGATGTTTCTCACAATGGCCAAAATATTGTAATAGCAACAAAAAAGATGAGGACAATAGTCTGCATGGTCATCAGCAAAAAGATGAGCCTGAAATGCAATTTACAGGTCGGGGACACTAAAATCAAGCAGATGTGGAAATTTAAATATCTGGAAAGTGTTCTGAAAGAAGACGGTAAGTGCAATGCTGAAATCCAAATATGTATTAAGATGGCCAAAGACACATTCCAGAAGCTAGGCAGCATATTACGAAACAGGAGGGTTTCATTGGTAACAAAGAAAAGAGTTCTAAACTGCTACATGATATCTGTCCTTCTTTACAACAGCAGCGAATGTTGGATGGTTTCCTCAAAGATGAAGAGGAGACTCGAGGCAACAGAGGTGTGGTTCTACAGAAGGATGCTAAGGATACCATGAACTGAACATGTGAGTAACAATGAGGTTTTGAAAAGGATGCAAACAAAAAGGAAATTCATACTTAGCATCAGGAACAGGCAGCTGAAATTTCTGGGATACCTAATAAGAAAGGAGGGCTTGGAAAATCTGATATTCACAGGGCAGAGAGAGGAAAAGAGGGACAAGGAAAAGCAATATGTGATATACTTAATGGGCTTAAGCAAGTGGATGGCAAAACACAGTGTAGGAGAAATAATAAAAAGTCAAAGCCTATTGAGAGCTACAAGGGACAGGAGGAAATGGAGAGCCATGATTGCCTCCATTCTGAAGGGGCACGCCACAAAAAATGTCTGCATATAAATGACTCCTCCATTTACATTATTCGGGCTAGTATTTCCAGGTACTGAACTCACACTATTTGGGTCCTGTCACTGGATCTAACTAATGCCTTTATCCACTGATTAAGGCAGTGGAGAACTTGGAGAGGGGAATTAACAGGAGATAACTGATAACTGACATCCATTAGACATGGCACGTGGAACTAGAACGGTCTACCGCAGCGAGCGAAATAAAGGGTTCAGTTTGACATTCCAACCACCTGAAGAAGACCGGAGCATACAATGACTGAAACATTGTGATAAATATGGCAACAAAGATGAGGACAATAGTTTGAATAATGTAAATAGTGTACATAATACCCCATCTCGGAAATATAGACAGATAGTTAAAGGCTGAAACGTTATAATAAATATGCAACAAAGATGAGGACAATAATCCGAATAATGTAAATTGTGTACATAATACCCCATCTCAGAAATATAGACAGATACTGAAGGGCCGAAACGTTGTGATAAATATGGCAACAAAGATGAGGACAATAATCCAAATAATGTAAATAGTGTCCATAATACCTCATCTCAGAAATATCGACAAATAACTCCTCATCCCAGAAATTCAAATAAAAATGAGATGCACTCACTTTTGCACTAGATATGCTTGTTGTCATACATGTGTGGCTCCTATAATTGTTTTATGAGACTTGGGATCATGAAAAAATTAACATAATTGCATGTTTATGAAAGAAAAAATGTGTATGTATAATGAAAACTCATTTAAAATCAAATAGCCCCTGATAACACCTTTGAATATTTGCTGCTAAATTTCTATCTTGATTCATTCATTTGGGTTTGTTGGATGAATGTTTGTTTGGGCTTTGGGGTTCATTGATTTAATATGTCAACCCTTGTTTGGGTCATTGTAATATCAGCCTGGACACTTTGATATGGTCTAATGGTTAGCAAACTTGTAACTGAGTAATGATTTCAATCTCCACTAAGTTCCCAACACTTTCGGACTTGTGCCACATCTAAACCTATGAAAGTGAGTTTATACATTTTCATTGTTCCTGAGAACTGACAACAAAATATCAAAAGCTATTTATCTATTAGATTGTTTATTGGAATGGTTGGCAAAATATCAGCTAAGTACCAATCAATTCGAACTTTATAAAATATTAAATAAGGATTTCCTTCATATATTTTATAATTTAGTAAATATTTATAAATCTATGAATAAAAAATTGATTCCATATTTATTTCAGTAAATATTTATAAATGTATGAATAAAAAATTGTTTTCATATTTATTTCTTTATAAATTGGTAAATGATAAATATTGCAATAGTTTTAATACAATTGTATTAGATTTTAGAATGTTGTAAATATAAAATTATTTTTGTAAATGAACAATCTAATAAATAGTGTTTAATATTTTTGTTGTAAAATCTCAAGAACAAAAAATATGTATAAATTCACTTTCATCATGTTTAGTTTTTATTACAATTCTGATCATTGCTTTTTAAAACCAAAAACATTACTGTGAAATGAAGGTACTTAAAATAATAGCAGTGTCAATGGAAAAACTGTCCTTTTCACATACTGTTTTTTTTTTGTTGGCACAAAGTCTAAAGATTGCCTTTGGCTTAACTTAATTCTTAAATTGATGTCAATTATAAATATATTGTACCTCAGTTCTTTTTAATAAGTTCACCTAAGACAAGATTTAAGAGCCACTCATGGTAGAGGGTTACTAAATGAAGTTCTTGTATGGTTGCAAGAGGAGGAAGTAAGCGCAAATTATGAGGATATGTAGGATAGATAATGGATGGCCTAGAATTGAAGAGGTTAAGATATGTAGTGATTAAGGAAGCATCTTCTCAAGGATCTCTTCCACAAAGTAGCAAATTTGCCCCCGAAAATCAAAAAGTTAAATCTGCTAGTAGCAAATTAATTAAATTTTAATTTACACAATATTCATGATTTATTGAGGCCATTGAATAAATGAGTGTTTGAAAAGAGACCTCCTTCATTTTTGTCATGACTTTCTTCATCAATAAAGGTTTACAAAGTTTAGCTCAGTCTTTCTAAAGGCCAAATTTAATACAGCTCTTTGTGAAGATTATACTTGTTATCTTTGTTAACTTAATGCTCACAGCGTCCTAAAATAGTCCTAGTGAGATCTATCTTCAAATTTCATCATGGTTGATTTATCGAAGGTGATTTCTCAGCATTAGCCTGGAGAGAGAATTCAAGCATGCAACACTGTTGAGAAGTATTTACACTACATTATTCAGACTGTTGTCCTCATCTTTGTTGTTACATTCACAACATTTCGGCTGTTGTAAGCTCTGGCCTTCTTCAGGTGATATTTGTTTGAATTAAGAATTGAACCCTTTATTTAATCCATGAGGTCATTCAGTTATGTGCCATGCATGATACACACTTAGGCGATCATGTATTTTTCGATACATGACTGATGAGGCAGATTTTTTCCCACAGTAGGTTGCCATTTTTTTCTGCGGTAGACTAGTTGCTATCCAAGACTATAGAACCCAGTCTGTCCTGATATTTACCCATAACTGGGGGGGGTGAAGAAGAAAAGGATTCAGACCTTTCCCAAGGGTATTAGCACGTAAGTGAATCTAATGGATTCAACTGGAATTCAAACTCGGCTCTCCAATTCCTCAATCCAAGCCACTATCCATTACTCCACCATGCCTCCTAGTCCATGGGGTAGATTGTTCTAATCCTATGTACTATGTCCCTAGGGTATTTGTGCGTAAGTGAATATAATAAACCCTGATTAACAATTCCTAGATATTATCCATTACACTACCAGCATATCCAAGCTTACAACACCTGGTATTTCCAGGTGGTTACCCATCAAGGTACTGACCAGGCTCAACATTGCTTAACTTCAGTGATCTAGTGGGAGCCAGTGTTTTAACATGATGTGGCCATAAGTCACAACTCTTGATTGGGTTGTCAAAACAAGTCAAGTCACTGTGACAGGGTTTGAGCATACTTATCATGTTCAACTATTGATTATGTGCCCAGAAAGTGTAACTTAAGTCTGCTCAAAAGAGTTGCAGTATAAGCCACAGACTGGCTCTGTGGGTGTTGAAACACAAATCTGCCTGAACAGGTGTCTGTAACAGGGATTAGATAGCCACCTATGTTGATGAAGGAGAAAACCAAGTCTTAACTCAAAAAAAGAATTTGTGTACTCTGTGCTATCTTTCAAAAATATGGTAATTGTTTGCACTTTGTTGCATTAAAGGGTAGTTTATGTAGATAACAGTTAACTCTAGACTTGAACAGGTTAAGGTTGTAGTGATCGGGGGAAACATCCTCTTGGGAGTCTGTTCCACAGAGCAGTTGTTCATGGGAAGAAACTGTTTGAGTGGAACTTCTTGGCAATGGAATATGGAAGGAATGTGGCTGGTTTTTTACTATGTAAGTGGCATGGCAGGTCCTTGCCGTGAAGGTTAGACTTGGTGGAATCAAGGAAGGTAGTTCATCTGAGCACTTTCTATAGAAGTAGAGATAAAGCAATGAGAGATTTGCCACATCTCGCTTGTGAGAGAGAAGTTGGAGGGTGGAAAATAATTCTTCTCCAACACTTCCTATTGCTATTTACCTCCCTACTCTTGTAGACTCGGTAGTTTGATGCCTATTAATATTGAGAATCAAGTTCACTGTCAATGGTTTCAGGAGAATAGGCAGCTAACTGTAATTCTATCATGAATCATTAATAAAGTGGATAAACTACTTTACAGTCATATTAGTAAGTGAAGCATGTAACCACAAGTACTACTTAAATTAACTGTCTGCTCATAAAAATGTAGTAATATTTTTTTAAACAATTTTTGAAGGTTAGCATTCATTAGAACTTCCTCTACCCTTGACAAAAAAAATGATTTTTTTAGTATTGTCAAAGCGGAGTCTCATTCTTAATATAAATAGTAGCAAATATATACTTTGTTTTGATTTACAAATATTAAATTTGAAATTGTGTACATATAGTAGGGATATAGAAGGTGCTTATCTCCCTTTGGTGGAGATAAGTTGCATGGGTTACTTAATGGCACCAGTGGATACAGTGATGACAGTGGCAGTCAAATTCAGTTTTACAGCAGCCACTATGTGAGGTTGCTTTCTTTTAGGCTGGGCCAAGGGACCTAAGCTGAGGTTAAATCTGCCTCCCCCAACAGCTTACAAGGACATGGTGCTGTTTCCCTTTTGGAATATATCTTTTCCAGATATGGAATGAAACTCCAGCTTGCAGTCCTTAATTTGGCTTGTTGTTTCCTATCCGTGGAATATGGCATTGCCTGGGACATAGATGAATCTGGAGTCCTAGAAATGGGAAAATTAATATTTTTCCTATAGCTCTCTCCTATTACAACATCTTACTTATTATAAAATGCAGATTGTGTATGTGTGTGTGTGTGTCTGTACATTTAAATATTGGATCGGATTTCCTACATTTTTCAACCGATTTCAACAAAACTTCACAGGACTGCATAAAATTACATTGCGGTGGTTCTGACAGCACTAAAAATTGGAAAAACACAATTGTTTTTGCATGAAATCAATTTGGAAACACGATTAAGAGGCATTAATGAAAGGGGGACAACTCATATCGAGTTATACTTATTATAAAACCCAGGTTGGTTGTGTGTGTGTGTGTGTGTGTGTGTGTTCATTTATATATGGGATCAGATTTCCTACATTTTTCAACCGATTTCAACAAAACTTTACTTTTTTTTTGGCAGGTAGTGTTTTTATTGTCTTGCACACTTTTTTTTTTTTTATTTTTACATTCAGAATGCTTTAAAATTCCATTTACAAGACAATTGTTTATAATAAAATTCTATTCAATCGATAGACTCATAATGATTGAAAACAATGTTTTTGTTTGGGTTTGGCCAATTCGTTAAAAAAAAAAAATAATTAAGACATGCATGTCCGTCAACCTTAAATAATAATCTTTGTCAATTTTATTTTTCAATCTTTATGATGGTCGATACTTGATCTATCTCTTACTGTTACATCCCTGGGCAACGCCGGGCTCTACTGCTAGTTGTTAATAAATGTGTACTATTGCAAATTGGGAACAAAGGATATCATCATTAGTACACAATTAAGAATGGTATAAGCACAGTTTCATGGCTTTCCTTTTATCTAAATATTTTCAGGGTACTTACTTTAATGAGCTGTCCTCATTGGGATCTCAACAGCATGAATTTAAACATACTACTAGATTGGCAATTAGGTCTCATTGTTTTACTGTTGAAATAGCTAGATGTAGTTGTAAGTCCTAATAGCTTTTTTACACTTCTCACTTATGAAACTCTTCTGATTTCTTGGGTTTCTACCTACTACAATCTTAAAAAATTTAAATGCACCATCAATTGCCATCTTCTGTCTTCCTTAATTCTGTTCTTTTTATTGTCCTTTCTCCTCACTAAAGTTTTCTCATTGTTTTCCACTTCCAGTAGTGCATCTTAGTGGGATGAAATGATTAAAAAAAATAAAAAAGTACTCTCTCTCTCTCTCATATATATATATATATATATATATATAAATTTATTTTAGGATATTACAACAAAAATATGTAAGAATTACTACACAATTACAATCATGTTTCAACGTATAATAATATATATCCTCATTCTTTGAAAAAAAAATAAGGCTTGAGGGTTTCACCTTGATCAACCAATCAAATATGATCTACATTAAATTCAAGCCAATCAAAAAAGAAAAAAAATAGAAATTATTATCTTAGAAATGTGTCATGGCCAAGAGTTGATATCTAACAGCAGCCAGACATTAACTTAAAGACTGATACAAATAGTTAAAATAAATGTACACATGCCAGTCAACTTTCATAAGAAATAAGTGGGGTGGGGGTAGCGAGGTAACTTTAACCAAATGCCCAACTAGTTATAAGCTTTGTGGATTTCCTATATAAATTTTTTTTTGTTGTTAAATAAGAGGCCTCTTTAAGAAACTAGTAAATAATCTAAGCATATAGAATTATTTGGTAAATAATATGCAACTCTTAAATGAATATCATCCCTAAAAGATGTTAATAATATCAACCAATGTAAAATGTCAAAATTACTAACTAAATACCAATACATCCGTATAAGACATTAATTAAACTCAATTCAATCATACAAATAGAAAGATAAGCCATATATAGTGCAACATAGTTCAACTAAAATCTAAGAAAAACATTGTCAAATTCCAAAGTTTAACTGAATTGTAAGGTAAAAGGTAGACTGTGTTTACAATTTACTGTTAATTTGGATCTTTGATTTAATAAAGAATTCTTATCAAAGAACTTGATAATTTCCAATTTTTCATGTAAACATAGAAGACTGGGTTCATATAAGGATCTACATGTCCTTGCTATTTTTAAAATTTTCCATTTCACCTTAGGAGTTTTATTATCATCTTTTAAACTCCAAAAATATTTAGAAATTGATGTATTATTTCTATAAGTACTATTTGTGAAAGACAACATATGTTGATATCACCTAGTCTTAAAAGACTTCTTAGTACCACCAAGAATTTTTCAACCATCGAATTCTCGATTGTAGAGATAATACCTAGGTAAACATTTATTTGGCAATGGAATTCCTACAATTACATTGACTAGTATCATTAATAATATTTATCTTGGAATGTGCATTATGATCCAGATTATTAAATTGGTTTAAAATTTTATTATTGTGTAACTTTATAATCTTCTCAAGATTATTGGTGCAACTATAACTTAGTTTTAATGTGTTTCTGTTAAATATTTTACTAAGAGGGTCACTTTTAGGGAAATGTTTATCAGTTAAATGAAGAAACTTCTGGCCTAACGCAGTACTGACCAAATGGTTAAATGTGGGTGTGTATCAAATGATCTTCCTATTTCTTTTCTTTAGAACACTATCATCATATTTTTTATACTTGATTTCAGTATATTGTAATCACTATTCTTCAAAACAGTATTATAAATAGTGCTATATTTATCAAACATATCTTTGTAAGATAAGAAGTTGCTAATCCTACATTCTACAGATGAGGTATGTTTGATTACAGATGAAGGGTGGTTAGAATTGGGGTGAATATAAATTGGGTTGGCATTATTTTTCATATAAGGTTGGAATAGATCATTATTTCATTAATTGTTACGAATGTTGATATATATATATATATATATATATATATGAGAGAGGTGCATGGTGAAGCAATGATTAGCAGCTTGGATTTAGAAATCAGAGAGCCAAGTTCTAATCCCAGTAGACTTCATTACATGCTAATATCTTTGAGAAAAGTATGAATCTATCTCCTCCCCTCAGCTATGGGTAAAATAGTAAGACAAACTGGGTTCTATAGCCTTGTGTGGCAACCTGTCTAGGAGAAGAAAATTCTAAATTCAAACCAGTTTGCACTATCCTAAAAGTGTACATACATGTGGCTGGTGTCTACTTGTGAATCCAAATATCCACTGAAACTCCTACTATTTGCACGTCCGAACGAATAGAACTTTGAGTTAATTCTTCTTGTTCCCTACAGAACATTAGGCTCTTTTTGATGCTGCATCTGAATGAAAGCTGACCAAACAAAGCAGAAGTTGTATTCATTTGGATCTGCATTGATATATATATCAATGTAATTGTTCACGGAATACATGGTGCAAGAGCCACACAAGGTAAAGGGTTACTAAGTTTGTTGTAAGAGCATAAAGTGAGGAAGTAAAAAGTGTAGAGTCAGATGATATGTAGCATAGCTAATGGTTGACTACAGACTTGAAGTAGTTAAGAGTGTAGTGATCAGGGAAGCATCCTCTCAGGAGTCTGTTTCACAAAGTAAAAGTTCTGGGGAATAAGATGCCTAAGTGGAACTTCCACATTATCAGTGAAGTACAAAGGGAATGAGGATAAATCAGCACTGTGTAT